CCTCGCTTTGTATTTCTCCCTCCTCCCTCCTCCCTCATCCCTCCTTCGTCCTCCTCCTCCATTCCTCGCTCCTGAATCCTCGCTCCTCACTCCTCACTCCTCACTCCTCCCCCCCCATCTCCTCCTCCTCCTCCTCCTCCTCCTCCTCCTCCTCCTCCTCCTCCTCCTCCTCCTCCTCACTCCTCCCTCCCTCCCTCTCCTTCCCTCTCTCCCTCCTTTCCTCCTTCCCTCCCTCTCTCCCTCCCTCCCTCCTCCCTGTCTCCGTCCCTGCCTCCCCCAGGCGTGCGCTGGTCCTCGTGTCCGACTCCCGCGACGTCCTGCTGAACCTGGCCCCCGGCGCGGCCCCAGGGTCGGCGGCCCAGCGGCTGGCCGCGAGCTTCGAGGCGCTGACTGCAGGACGGGCGGTGCGGTCTCAGACATGATCGCATCGTAAAAAAAATCAGGACGGGAGGTTTTTGGCCATTTTCGGCTCCGGGGGGCCCTCGCCGGGCCTCGGGACCGTCAAGAAGCGGCTCAGAACAAAAAACCGGTCCCGGGGAAAGGGTCGGAATTTCCAGGGACGCCGTCCTGGACAAAAATCAGGACGTCGCACGTCTGGGGGGGAACTTCGCGACGGCAGACCTCGGGGCCCGGCGTATTCTGTCCGCTTTCGTGGGGTCTTGGGGGTCTCCTCGCTTCGGGGGTGCTCTTCAGCAGCTGTTGAGCTGCATCTTCGCGGGACCTCGCTTGTCCCCAACATTGGTGTCTTTTCTTGTGCCCGACGCGGGCTCGATGCGGCCTCGACGCGGATTTGGCGCGGACTCGACGCGGATTCGACATGGATTCGACACGGATCCGACGAGTCCGACATGGATTCGACATGGATAGGGCCTCGACGGGACAGACAAGGACCCCCGAAGATGAAACATCACAGCTGCGCCTCGCAGGGAGCGTTCCGAGGGTGCCCGAGGCGTCCAGAGCGGCCGCCGTGAGCCCGAGCTGTGGCCCAGAGGCCACCGAGAATAGGGGGGGGGGCCACGCCGCCACTCGTCGGGGAAACCAGCCCTGGGGAAGGTCGGGCACGTTCCTCTACAGGAGTAGTATTCAAAAATAGCCCCCCAACAATATGGGGACGATTTTCGATAATTTTCGACAATGTTTGAATATCTCTATATATACACACCTATACGACCACCCTTCGGGTGATAAGGAGGTTCGGGGGGGGAGGAACCAACGTCTCACTCGATCGGTCTAACTATCGATCTCACTATCGATCTCACTATCGGTCTCTCTCGATCGATCTCACTCGATCGATCTCACAATCGATCTCACTCGATCTATTTCATTCGATCGATCTCACAATCGATCTCACTATCGATCTCACTATCGATCTCACTATTGATCTCACAATCGATCTCACATTCGGTCTCACTATCGATCTCACTCTCGATATCACAATCGATCTCACAATCATCGTCATCATCATCATCAACATCATCGTAATCAACGTCATCAATATCCTCATCATCATCATCGTCATCATCATCATTGGGACACCATCATCATCATCAACATCATCATAATCGCCATCATCGGGACAGCATCATCATTGTCATCATCATCATCATCATCATCATCACCATCATCATCATCACCTCATCACCATCATCATCACCATCACCATCATCACCACCGTCATCATCATCACCATCGGGACACAATCATCGTCATCATCATCATCATCATCATCGGGACACCGCTATCATCGGAACACCATCATCGTCATCTCATCATCATCATGAACAACAGCATCAACATCATCATCATCATCGGGACACCATCATCATCAACATCATCATCAACATGAGCATCATCATCATCATCATCATCATCATCATCATCATCATCATCATCGGGACACCATCATCATCATCATCGTCAACATCAGTATCATCATCATCGGGCCACCATCATCAACATCATTATTATCACCTCATCATCATCCTCATTATCAACATCATCATCAGCATCATCATCACCAGCATCGGGACACCATCATCGTCATCATCATCATCATCATCATCATCATCATCGGGACACCATCATCATCACCATCATCATCATTAACAGCATCATCAACCTCATCATCATCATCACCGGGATCCCATCATCATTATTATCATCTTCATCATCATGATCATCACCATCATCTCATCACATCATCATGCACAACATCATCAACATCATCAACATCATCATCATCGGGACACCATCATGATCGCCAGCGACATCATCATCAACATCATCATCATCGAGACACCATCATCATCACCACCATCACCATTCTCATCATCATCATCATCAGCATCGCCAACATCATCAACATCATCATCATCATCATCACCATCATCATCGGGACACCGACGGGACACCGGCGGGACACCGGCGGCACACCGCGCGCCACCGGGCCCCGGTGAGGAATCATTTGGTCCGGAGGCTGGACACCGGCGGGACACCGCGCGCCAGCGGGCCCCGGTGAGGAATCATTTGGTCCGGCCGCGCCTCAGCTACAGGAGATTTTCGTCTCGCCCGCCCACGCAGCTTCGCCTCGCCCGCACGCACGGCACGCACGAACACGAAACCGAAACCGATTTCCCGGTAGGGGGGCTCTCCGTTCCGTTCCACTTCGATCTCACCCCCTTTACCTCCTTTTTTATATAAAAACATATTTATTTATTTGTATATATATACACACACACACACTTTTTTGGGGGGAAATACTTTGTCCCAAATCCGCCCGTAGACGTGGACCGGTTTATTCAGCCAGGCCAGCCAGCCGGCCAGCGTCCGCCTGGACGCAGCGGCGGTTCACTGCAAGTATCATTGATCAAATAATGCGGTGGGGGCGTTCGTTAAGGAATGTGCCCAGGAGGCTGCAGACCCTGGAGGATTCCTTATCTGATGAGGCTGGCGCTGATACCCATGGCCGATCCCCGATTGGAATTCCAGAGGCTTCCAGTCGGCGGCGAGCGAGGGGGGGAAGTGAGAAGGAGAAGGCCTTCTCAGAAGGTGGCGGGGCTTCTCAGAAGGTGGCGGGGCTTCTCAGAAGGCCTTCTCAGAAGGTGGCAGGGCTTCTCAGAAGCACTCAGGCCTTCCGAGGCATCTTCTGTGTCTTCGGGGAAGGATTAGACAACTACTCAGAAGGCTGGGGGACTTCCGAGCCCTCTGATAAGGCCTCCTCGTTCACCCCCGCCCCGTGCGCCGCCGATGCAGACCCTAGATTCCTTATCTAAGGGTTCCTCGTCCAATGCCCCCCACCGAAAGACGAGGCAAGGAGACGTACGACGACGATGCGCAAGCGGACGAGTACGAGTGGGAGTAGTAGCAGGAGGAGGAGGAGGAGGAGGAGGAGGAGGAGGAGCAGGAGGAGGAGCCTGGCTGGCGTATACTCTGTGCTCTTCTGGGCCCTCTGTCTTTCTCTTTGCCCCTTGCGCCTGTCTTGGTTTCTGCTACGCCCGCCAGGCGTAACTTGTTGGCTTACAGGCCTGAGTCAGCACTCAGTTTCTTCCACACGGACGCCACAGCCAAGATCGGCATTCAGTTTCTTTCACACGGGAGCTACAGCCAAGATGCTCAAGTAGGAGGACGAGGAAGAGGAGGAGGAGGATGATGATGATGAGGAGGAGGAGGAGGAGGAAGAGGGGACGACGACCACACGACGATGGCGGCGGACGACGGCGGACGACGGCGAACGACGTTAGACGACGGCCGACCCATGGACGACCGACGACGACGGCGGGAGCCCTGGAGCCCAGGACGACCGACGACGACGACGACCGACCGACCGATGGACGACCGATGACGACGACGACCTCCGCGCCAGGAGCCCTGGAGGGCGCCGTCGTGGCCGGCGCCGAGGGGCGGTGCTGTGTTTCGGCCCTGACAAACGCGACTGGGAGGGGACCCGTCGGCGTTGTCGTCAGTGGCGTCGCCGACGTCGAGGAGGAGGCGGAGGAGGAAGAGGAGGGGGAGGAGGACGAGGAGGAGGAGGAGGAGGAGGAGGAGGAGGAGGAAGAGGAGGGGGAGGAGGAGGAGTGATGAGTGAGGAGTGAGGAGGAGGAGGAAGAGGTCCGGGAGGAGGAGAAGGAGCAGCAGGAGGATGATGATGAGGAGGAGAAGGAAGGGGAGGAGGAGGAGGGGGAGGGGGAGGGGGAGGGGGAGGAGGAGGAGGAGGAGGAGGAGGAGGAGGAGGAGGAGGAGGAGGAGGGAGGAGGAGGAGGAGGAGGAGGAGGAGGAGGAGGAGGAGGAGGAGGAGGAGCAGGAGCAGGAGGAGGAGGGGGAGGGGGAGGGGGAGGGGGAGCAGGAGAAGGATACGGAGGACGAGGAAGAGGAAGACGAAGACGAATCATAATTTTACTAATATTAAGGAGTAATCGTGATAATAAGAATATTGGTACGACTAAGAAGACAAAACATAATACTACGAGTCTGAAGACTATTAAGAATACTAGCACGAAGGCTAACTATATTACTAGCAATCATACGAAGACAAATAATAACAATATAATGCGAGTGCTAAGACTATTGTTAATAGTAATGATACTGAGAATCATGCGCATACTACTGATAGGACGATGATTAATAATACGCATAAGAAGAACACGACCACTAGTACTAATCAGCATAATACTACTATTACTGATACTGAGAAGCAGGCGAAGACGAATGTGGGGAATACTTATAATATGAAGCAACGCAATAATAGGACGAACCATAATACTATGACTGAAATTAATAGCAGTACTAATAATGTTTGAAACTATTAGCACTAAGCTGGTACTACTAAACATACTAATAATCAGAAGAGGAGTAGGTGGAGGAGGAGGATGAGCAGGATGAGGAGGAGGTGTAGGAGGAGGAGGCGGAGGAGGAGGAGGAGGAGCAGGAGGAAGAGGAGGAGGAGGAGGAAGAGGAGGGGGAGGAGGAGGAGTGATGAGTGAGGAGCGAGGGAGAGAGGAGGGGGGGGGAGGAGAAGGAGAAGGAGGAGGAGGAGGAGAGGAGGAGGAGGAGAGGAAGAGAGGAGGAGGAGGGGGGAGGGGGGGAGGGGGAGGGGAGGAGGAGGAGGAGGAGGAGGAGGAGAGGAGGAGGAGGAGGGGGAGGAGGAGGAGGAGGAGGAGGAGGAGGAGGAGGAGGAGGAGGAAGAGGAGGAGGAGAAGGATAATGAGGAGGAGGAGGAGCAGGAGGAGGAGGGGGAGGGGGAGGGGGAGGGGGAGCAGGAGAAGGATACGGAGGACGAGGAAGAGGAAGACGAAGACGAATAATATTATTACTGGTATTAAGGAGTAATCTTCATACTAAGAATATTGTACGAATAAGAAGACGATTCATACTGCTACGAATCTTAAGACTATTAACAATACTAACACGAAGGCTAACTATATTACTAACAATATTTTGAAGACGAATAATAACAATATAATGCGAGTGCTAAGACTATTGTTACTACTAATGATACTGAGAATCATGCGTTTAGTATTGATCGGACGAGGATTAATACAACGCATTCGAAGACTACGACAACTGGTAATACTCAGCATACTACTACTACTACTGCTACTACTACTACTACTACTACTACTACTACTGCTGCTGCTACTACTACTACTATTACTATTACTATTACTATTACTATTACTATTACTATTACTATTACTATTACTATTACTATTACTATTACTATTACTATTACTATTACTATTACTATTACTATTACTATTACTATTACTATTACTATTACTATTACTATTACTATTACTATTACTATTACTATTACTATTACTATTACTATTACTATTACTATTACTATTACTATTACTATTACTATTACTATTACTATTACTATTACTAATAATGAGAAGCATACGAAGACGAATGTGGGGACTACTAATAATATGAATCAACGCAATACTAGGACGAACAATACTACTATGACTGAAACTTAATAGCAGTAATAATACTGTTTGAAACTATTAGCACTACGCTGGTAATACTAAGCATGCGAATAACCAGAAGAGGAGGAGGTGGAGGAGGATGCGGAGCAGGAGGGGGAGGAGGAGTAGGATGATGAGGAGGAGGAGGAGGAGGGGGAACAGGGAGGGGGGGAGGAGGAGGAGGAGGAGGAGGAGGAGGAGGAGGAAAAGCAGGAGGAGGAGGAGGTGGTGGTGGTCACTGCGTAAGGGGAACAAAGTCCGAGCAGAGCAACACGCACCACCACGACAATGATGACGCCGACGACGATGACGATGATGGAGACGAGGCGCGCTGACGATCCGTACCAAAGCACCGACTGGGGAACAGGGGGTTCTCCTGCCAGGTTCGGTGCACATCACGTCGTTGAGCGGTGCTGCGACGGATGAGGATGAGGATGGGCAGGGGGAAGAGAAGGAAGAGCAGGGGGTTGATCGGGGGTGGAGGGACTTCGGGGCTCTGGCGGGTCTGTTGGGTTCCAGGGGGTCTCTAGCGGGTGTCAGGGAATTCTGGGCGCTGGGAGCTGGAGGAGGGCGAGGAGGAGGAAGTGCACGCCCTCTTCGTCGCGGTCTTGGGGGAGGAGGAGGAGGAGGAGGAGGAGGAGGAGGAGGAGGAGGAGGAGGAGGAGGAGGAAGAGGACCCTGACGTCTGGAAGCTGTGGACAGAAGAACGATCCAGCTTCGGGCCCCAGGGGCTCTCACGGGCCGACCAGATGCGATACACGCACACACACGCACACGCACACAAGCACTCAGGGTGTGAAGATGAGGGTTTTTTTTCGGGGCGGCAGATGTCGGAGGGGAGAGGCCGCGGGACGAGGCCCTTCGGGTGGCCTTTTAGCATTGGAGCCAGCGGGGGGTCTGAGGTGGCCCAGCACTGGCCTCGACCAGCAGGAAGGGGGGCGAGGTTCGAGGTTCTGGTGGGTTCGAGACGCTTTTGTTTGTTTGTTGTTTAGTGAGGAATCTGCATCTCTTAAGAACAATCATTGTTGTTCCCCCCTGTGGTGACCATTCGTATTTTTCAATCCAAGTGCTCCTCCCCAGGCTCGCACCCTGCATTTTACAAGTGCAAGCTGTGTGTCACCAAACTGTCCTGTGGCCCCCGAGTTTCAACAACCACAGCTCCCGCCTGAGACTTCCTCACAATACAGTATATTGAGAAATCGCGACTTCGCGCGGAACTTCCTCACAAGTCATGCAGGAATCGAGCTCTCGCGAGGGACTTCTCGCAATTTATTCAAACGCCGCGCCCATGACACTCCGTAATCACGCTATCGCTTTGGCTTTTCTGACGATTTATTTGGGAATCGCGCTATCGCCCAAACTTTCTCGCGATTCATGCTGGACTGACGCTTCAGCAACCCGCCTGCTTGACCTGGCCCTCTGGGCCCGCCTTCCCGTCCCGTTCGCTTGGGTCTGCCCGCCCGATCTGCCCGGCTTTTTGAGGGGCTGCACTGAATGCGCGTGGCAGGTAAGAAATGCATACCCCAAGTATGTATGACCGGACATCAAGAGGGCGGTACCAGGGGTTTAGGATGTACGTGAGCAGATAGGATCCAACAGTCTTAAGGTGATTGTTGTTGTTGGTGCTGCTGTTGTTGAGTTCTCATCTCTAAAGAATAACAAGTGTTGATCCCCTCCAGTAACCACGGTATTTTCAATCGAAGTGCCCCCCTCGGGGCTCGCACCTTGTTTTTTTAATCAGGGAAAGCTTGGTATCACCAAACTGTGTTGTTGGGCCTCGAACTACAACAACAAAGGCTCCCGCCTGAGATTTCCTCACAACTTATTCCAAAATCGCGCTCTCGCGCGGGACTTCCGCACAACTTATGGAGGAGTCGCGCTCTCGTGTTGGATTTCCATGCAATTCCGATTGGCGGTTGGCACCTCCACCTGCTGACCGCGCCTGGGGTCCTTCCGCCCCACCGACTTTAAAGTGTTTCTTTTTGTGTTCTTGCGCTGCTCCGGGGGCCGTTTTCGGGCCCTGGGGCCGATACAAGAGGATTCCTGGTGAAACAATAGGGGCACAGTGCCGATCCAAGAGAAGCCTGGAGGATCTGCGAAGTTTCTGCATGTCTGTCTGTATGTTTGCTTGGTTGTATGTATGCATGCATATACGTGTGTGAATATACGTGTGTGTGTTTTGTGTATTCTGGTCTGCTTCACCCTCGTTGCCCATGTCCAGGTATGTGCATGGCGTGGCCGATCCCGTTTGGATCCCTGCCCCATCTCCTGAGGGGCCGGCCGCGCATGTTCTCTAGTTTCTGGGGTGAATTGTCGCTGCGCGCGAGGCCGCGACCGCCAAAAAGTGTTTGTGTGTTTGTGTGTTTGTGTGTGTGTGTGTTTCCAGATGGCGCGTTCGATTAAGTTCGTTCGCAATTGGCACCTGCACCTGCCGACCGCGACTGAGGTCCCTCTGCGCCGCCGACTTACGTGTATGTGTGTGTGTCTGTTGTTCTTAAGCCTGTATGCGTTGCCGCTGCGTGCTGTCGTGCTGCGTGCCAGGGACCAGCGAATTAAGTGCAGGCCAGGTTGCCGCACAATGGGCAGTTGTGCATCCGTGCGTACCCCGTCGAATCTTGATCCTGACCCCGAGCCGCTGCGGCCAGATCCCGATGCCCGTTCCGATACGCCGACGCGCCGATTTTCTCACAGCGTGGGGCCCCGAGTGTGTCGGCCTTTTCCCTGGGATTAGTTTTTCATCCCCGGCCGTTTTGTGACGGTCCCTGGGCTCAGTGAGGGCCGCCACATGCCGAAAGCGGCCCCGAATGCTCATGTCGCGATTTCTTCACGACCTGACTGTGACATCCGCCGACGCGATTTTGTCAAGTCGTCGGAGGGAGGAGGAGGAGGAGGAGGAGGAGGAGGAGGCGGAGGAGGAGGAGGAGGAGGAGGGAGGAGGAGGAGGAGGACGAGGAGGAGGCTCTCCATATTGGCACCTATTCTCCGCCGATGACCGACCGACCCGACCGACCCGACCGAGAGGAGGAGGAGGAGGGAGGAGGAGGAGGAGGAGGAGGAGAGAAGAATGAGGAGGCGAGGAGGAGGAGGAGGAGGAGGAGGAGAAGAAGGAGGAGGACGAGGAGGAGGAGGAGGAGGAGGAGGAGGAGGAGGAGGAGGAGGAGGAGGAGGAGGAGAGGTCCGGCCTGGCCGGTGCGAGGTGAGACCCGGCGAGCTCTTCGATGAGGGCGGCGGCCGTCGCGTGCGGGCGTGCAGCTCCGGGTCGCAGGGCTGTCCGTGGCGGAAAGGCGGCGTGCGCCTCTGGGAGGCCGCCGCCCGCCCCACGGCGGCCCTCTCGTCGGCCGCTGGCGCCCGCGGAGGCATCGGCGAGCTGCGGCGGCGGCGCTTGCAGCGCTGGCGCCAGCGGCATCGGCGAGCGGCGGCGGCGTCGCCCGCAGCGTTGTCGGCGGCGGCGCCAGCGGCAGCGCCGGCGGTTTTGGCGGCAGCGGCGGCGAGGCCGCCGATGGCCACCGATGTCCGCCTGCCGCCGCCGCCGCGCGCGCGCCGCTTGCCGCCGCCTCCGCCGTCCTTTCGGGGGCCCCGTCCGGCGAGGCTTTTCTCCCGCTCCTTCGCCGGCGCCTCCCTCCTCCTCTTCCGCCTCCATCCTCCTCCTCCTCCTTCTCCTCCTCCTGTTCCCCCTCCTCCTCTTCCTCCTCCTCCTCCTTCTCCTCTCCTCCTGCTCCTCCTCCTCCTCCTCCTCCTCAATCTCGTCCCCCTTGTGCCCCTCCTGCCGCTCCCCCCTCCTCCCTCCTCCTTTTTCCTCCCTCCTCCTCCTCCTCCTCCTCGTCCTCCTCCTCCTCCTCCTCCTCTCCTTCCTGCACCCCTCCGTAGCCATTTTGGCTCAAGCCACATGCGAGGTCGGGGCCTCGCACGCGCCACAGCTCCCCCCGCATGCTATGGTGAGCAGCCCTGCAGGTTCGCGTGGTGTCTGCTCGCTGGAGTGACTATCTACATGGTGCGTTTTAGGTCGCCTGAGAAGTTGAATTCGTCGTGGTTATGCTCGGGAACGGATGTATATGCAGGCTCGTCCCTCTGGGATGCGCCACATCGCCGTGCCCTGGCATTTGACCTCAAATTCCAAGGATGTCGTGAAGGGTCTCGCCGCGCACTCTGAGCTGTAGACGGTCTCTCGAGTTCACGCGCACAGCCTGCGAGATGTTCTTGTGCATGCCACCCCACACTTCGACGCCGAGTCGATCGCGCAGATGCGGGCCGTCAACGAACAGGGTGGCCGCGCCAAAAATCGTGTACCAGACGCTCCGCCTGGTCTTGCTGCCATGCCGTGCCTGACGGACAAGCGCGTGCTGATGCTGGACTCGCTCTCGCTGCAGTCTGCGGATTGCCTGACGCATACCTTTTCGACTGCAATGTTGGCGATGTCACACGCGCTGCAGGTGGTCGCCCAGTTCGTGTGCTTGCCGAGTGTCAGACCGCTCGGAGTGTGTTGCCAAACTGATCTTCAACGTGTCGCTGCTTTCATCGCGGAGCTGAACACACCAACGGAGGACGTACACCGACTTCGAGGATGAGCTGGGCGCCTTCCTTGCTGGTGGTGCATTTTGCTGGATTGTTGTCGTTTCCCTCTTCGCGTGGGTGCTTCCCCTACGTGATCGTTTTCTTACTTACGGTTTTGCCGATTGACGCGGGTTTTCGCACCTCTATCCCCCCCGTGGAGTAGATCTTGGGTGTTTTTGGCGCCTGTTTCAAGGAGTCTCCCACATAGGACGCACTGCTGCAAACAGTCGCGTTAAGCAGAGGTCTGGAGCCAGCCCCCCATCTCTCCCCCCCCATTCCTCCCAATGTCGAAGCGCCGAGTAAGAACGCGTTCCCTACGTCTTCTTCATCGCCGCCGATTTGCCCGCGCGCGCCCGTGTGCCGCGTCGCCTTCTTCCTCGCTGCCGTCTGCTCGCGGTGCGCGCCCCCGGGCGTCGTCGCTGACGTGCGTGCGTCGGCTGTGCCTCTGCGCTTTGTCCTGCCGTGTCCGACGGCCCGTGACCTGAACGAGGCCCTTTACGAAGCCGTTCTTCATGAGCGCGCCTGCGGTGAGGTGGATGATTGTCAAAGCTCGGCGGCGAGCGATGGGGGAGAAGTGAGAGAGAAGGCCCTCTCAGAAGGTTCAGACGCCCGCCGGCCTTCTGAGAGGTTTTCTGAACGTTCCCCGAAGACAGAAAACGTTTTTCAGATGGCGCGAGGGCTTCTGAGAAGCCCCGCCGCATTCTGAAAAGGCCTTCTCCTTCTCATTTCCTTTTTCGCTCGCCGCCGAAAAGCATCCTGCGTGTGCCTGTAGCCGCTGCTTCCTGTGGCGTTCTTCCTCCTGGTGCTCGTGACGCTCGTCGTGATGGGGCTGCTAGTCAGGGTGATGCTGCTGACGAGGCGCATCAGAGGTGCTGACCTCCAGGACACAGCCCGGCGGCAATGCCGGCAGTCCTGCCCTGCATTCCACACTCGTACACCATAGAGGCATCGTTCTCCAGGACACAGCCGGGTGGTTAGGCCGGCGGTCCTGCTTCCTCTCAACGTTCACACACCAGTGTTGGTTTATTAATTGCTGTGTCCAATTATATTTATATTTCGGTTCATTATTAGGTTCGTTGTAAGCCCATTCCCCCCTGGCCTTCCCTCGCATGATCTTCCCAATCTTGCCAGGGTTTCGAGGGCGGAGGGGGCTTGACACCCCAGGCCACACGCCCCTCGTCACAGTAACGGTCTGGACGCGCACGGAGGTCCGGACGAAGGCTCTCCCGCCTCCTCCCCCGCGCTTCCTCCCCCCCGCGCACGGGGGGAGAGGTTTGCGTAGGACTGCATGCGGTGCTACGCCTCGAGCCCTCCAGTCTGGGGGGGCACGATTTGTTGCAGTTTGTGGGGGCCCTGCCGGGGCCCCGCGGAAACCGTGGCACGCCCAAGGCCCCCAGCCCTTGCTTCAGGCTTGGGCGCTGCATTGTATAACGAGGATAGTGTACGCTGTCGCGTGTGTAATGCAAGCTATGCGGTGCATGCCGGGTAGACGTCACATTTATCGTGTCCCGGCCGCGTGGCCGATGAAATGGACTTCACATTGTTGCACTCATTGCGATAACAAATTGTGTGTGTGTGTGTGGTTTCTGTGCCCTGCAGTCCGACACGGCTTGGGCAGGCCGACCCATCCACTAACGCATGCGCGGTGCGTGCCTGGCCTCCCACAATCGCACGCTGCACGAGCGCCCTCTGTTCAAGATTCAGGCGCCCCCCGGAGCGACCAAATCGTGCCCCCCCGGGTACCCAGTAATTGATGCGGTACCGCATTGTGACTCTCTATCGGTCCCCCTCGGCTGGCGCTGCGTGCAAGGGGGTTATGCTGTCCCCGCCGTTGTAGCTTTCGGGCTCAAGCTTAGCGTCACTGTGTCAGCACCGTCTGCTTTACCACAGTCATCACCCCCACTCCAGGACACAGCCCGGCGGCAATGCCCGCAGTCCTGCCTTCACTCCACACTCGTACACCATAGAGGCATCGTCCTCCAGGACAGCCCGGCGGCGAGCCCAGCGGCGAGGCCAGCGGTCCTGCTCGCACGCCAGAGGCACTGACCTCCAGGACATAGCCCGGCGCAAATGCCGGCGGTCCTGCTGCCATCCCAATGCACATCAGAGGTGCTGACCTCCAGGACACAGCCCTGCGGCAACGCCGGCGGTCCTGCCTCCACTTTACACTCGTACACCATAGAAGCATCGCCCTCCAGGACACAGCCCGGCGGCGAGACCGGCGGTCCTGCTCCCACTCAACACACGCACACCAGAGGCGCTGACCTCCAGGACAAAGCCCGGCGACAATGCCGGCAGTCCTGCCTTCACTCCACACTCGTACACCATAGAGGCATCGTCCTCCAGGACACAGCCGGGCGGCGAGGCCGGCGGTCCTGCTTCCACTCAACACTCGCACACCAGAGGCACTGACCTCCGGGACATAGCCCGGCGCATATGCCGGCGGTCCTGCTGCCATCCCGCTGCGCATCAGGGGTGCTGACCTCCAGGACACAGCCCAGCGGCAACGCCGGCGGTCCTGCCTCCACTTTACACTCGTACACCATAGAGGCATCGCCCTCCAGGACACAGCCGGGCGGCAATGCCGGCGGTCCTGCTTTCACCCCCAATCGCACATCAGAGGTGCTGACCTCCAGGACACAACCCGGCGGCAATGCCGGCAGTCCTGCCCTCATTCCACACTCGTACACCATAGAGGCATCGTCCTCCAGGACACAGCCCGGCTGTTAGGCCGGCGGTCCTGCTTCCACTCAAACTTCAAACGCCAGAGGCACTGACCTCCAGGACATAGCCCGGCGCAATGCGGGCGGTCCTGCTTTCATTCCACGCTCGCACACCAGAGGTATCGACCTCTGGGACAGCCCGGCGGCAATGCTGGCGGTCTTGCTTCCACTCCACTTGACACAATAGAGGTATAGACCCCGAGCGGAAATGCTGGCGGTCCCGCCTTTGTTTTACTCCTCGAATGCGGCGCGTTTCTACCTGCGCTCGGCTCAAGTTTCACACTCGCACACAACAGGTATTGACCTCCAGGACACAGCCCAGCGGCAATGCCCGCAGTCCTCTATAGTTACTGCCCACATTCAGGTCACGAGGTATCGACTTCCAGGACAAAGCCCAGAGGCAATGCCGGCGGTCCTGCACTCACTTGGTTTATCAACTACTGTGTCTATATCAGTTAATTATTAGGTTGGTTGCAACAGGGTGTGACAAGGACTTCCCAAGAAACTTGTTCAACAATACGCGGCATCGCACATTCTCTGTCGCAGGGATCTCTCTCCCTGTTTACCCCCAGACATTCCTGGCTGTTGGGGATCGGGGGTGCACCAAAACATTGACCCCCAGGTCGCGAAATCCAGGCCGTGGTTTTGCGCCGCCCCTTCTAAGGCCCTGAGAAGGGCCATGCGCACCTCCGAAGCAATCTGTACCACTTGCGCGAAGCCTCTCCCGCGCACCTGAGCAGCCCTTCCGGCTGCCGTCTCCGAGGATGGCCGAAACCAAGCCGGGGAGAGTTCAGAAACCGTGGGGGACGTGCCACGTCAGTGGCCACCTCGCCCATTCCTAACATTCGTCCCCCATGTGTTAAGATCCCTGGAAACCATTTGACTCAAAGGATTGGTTTCTGCCATCCTCAAGACTTTAAGGATGAGACCTCCTAGAGTCTTTGCAACTCCTTTTCTGCATCGGGATGTTGCGTTGGGCAGCGGGTGAGTGGGGAACCGCAATCACCCTGACAAGGGTTCTGATGGTCGCCTCATCCTTAAAGATGGTTCTAGGTGCCCTCAAAGCCTATTGCGTACCTGGCAGTCCTCCTCCTCCTCCGGTTGCTGCAGCCCTTTCCCTGGGCGCTTGACCTGCCCAGATCTCCCCCTCGCACCGTGAACAAATCGCGACGGGAGCGGCCTGCCCCTGGCGGTCCGCGGTCCTCAGAGCTGCAACGTCGTATTTTTTTTTGGTTTGTAGTTGTTTTTGTTTGTTCTCTCTCTTCCTTTGATATGTTTTTTATTCTATATAAAAGGTTATGTTTTGTTTGTTTGTTTTTCAATGTTTGTCTCTTTATATCTTTTCTGCTGCACCGTTGGTCCCCAGTGGTCCGGACCGCTTGTGTGCGGCCTGTTGTTCATCCCGAGCTGTTTTTCTCACGGCCCTGGGGCCCAGTGAGAGCCTCCAGAGGCCGACGGTTTCTCAAAATTTGTCGCTGCTGACATTTTTCGCGACGAGAGGAGATCTGGGTTTCGTGTCGGGGAGTCATCCGGCGCGTTCCAGAAAGGACTTCGCCTTCGGCGCGCCCTCGTCTTCGGCGGACGCCTGCGGAAGGCCAGCGGAAGCCGGCGAAATTACAGCTGGGCGGCTCCGCCGGCGGAAGCTGCCAAAGTGAAAGAACTCGTTTTTCCCAGAGGTGCGCACTGTTGTGGACTGAGGGTCTCCAGGTCGAGCCGGCTAGGCGTTGTCGGTCAGTCAGTGGAGCCGCGCCGCACAGGGCATCGGCGAAGCCGCACAGGGCTGCTAGCATTAGTCCTGCCTGGTGCACGCACGCTCCAAAAGCACATGTATGAACAGGGCTTCTGCGCCGAGCTTTGCTGTAGCCCTGCCTGGGCTCAGCGTGCACATTTTTTTAGGGGGGAGGGGCAGAAAGCGTCCGCCAGGAGTTCATGGGCGGCCTCGCCGCAGAGCGTGGTGCCGCCGGGACGGAGGTCTTCCTGAACGCCGGGCTGGTCGCAGGTGCCCTCGCCGCTGGGGCTGGGCTCTTCCGCCGCGCCTTTTCTCCCGCACCTGGCAGCGCGGAGGAGGGGAGGGCACGGGGGGGCGATGCGCGGAGTTCTGCTGTAGACGACCGCCATGCAATGCGTGCACCTAGCCAAATGTGTCGACGGTGCTCACTGGCGTCTGCCGTATCTCCCTTTCCAGACCCCCGACGTCATCTGTTCTTCAGCAACGTCGACCCCCAGAGGTCACGACCCATTCCCCTGGACTTGGTTTTTCATCCTGAGTCGTTTTTGACGGTGCCGGGCCCTGCGAGGGCAAGCCAGGAAATCGTCCGTGTTTTCTTTGTTGCTGCGACTCGAGGGGGGAGCACGTTGCTACGCATGAAAGGAATGCCGATTAGCACGGTAAATGATGAGGCTATGCTACCTCTTTTGATTTTGAGCCGGCTTTGATGCCCACTCGTGCCCACCCCGTCCCATCTTCAGGGACTTCTCATTTTCCTCATGATGGCGGGATGGACAGACGGCCTCCACCCTCGGCACTGCACGTACTGTGCCAGGATCGTGGGGATTTGCCCCAGCGGCCCCTATGATGGAAACTGCGGAGGAAGTGAGGGAGGCCTCATGGCGGCCCTCTCTGATAAGGCCTATGATGGTCCTCACTGGTGGTGTGGAGTGGGAAAAGGGACACCTGAGAGGGGCTGTGAGAGGAACTGAAACCACCGTCCAGGCCCTTGCACGAGAGAACCCACTATCAAGAGGAGCGGGCGGTCCACAGGCGGGGAGTCACGCCGCACCCGCCGCCACCGCGGCGTTACGCCCCCGTCGAACACCTCGCTCCTACCCCCCCGGGGAGGCCCTTTTGAGAGGCTGCACGAATCCCACGGCCCCCCCCCCCCCGCACTCGTGCATCAGCGCCCACTCGTACTGGTAGTCCCAGTCGTGGTCGCCGTCGTCGCCGAAGTCGTCGTGCTCGATGTCCGTCGTCGGTGCCAGGACAGTGGGGACGGGTCCCCGCAGCCTCTAAAACTGTCCGAAGCCACTCCGCCTCCAGCTCGAGCCGCCCGCGGCGCTCGCTGCGGCGCCGTATGCCGCACCCGCGCCGCCCCCCCGCCGCCGCGACGCGGGCGCGGCCGCGGCGGCCCCGCCGCGGCCCTGCCACGGCACGCCCCCGTGGGGCCGGCCACGCGCGGCGGCCTCCTCCGCCCCTCCGCCGTGGGCGGCTGCCGGCGCCCCCCGGCGCCCTCGGGCGGCGCGGGCGGCCACGGCCGCTGGCGTCGCCGGCATGGCGGCCTTGCTGGGCTGGCCGCGCCGCGGCGGGCCCCGCCGCTGGAAGCAGCTGCTGGCGCCCCCGGCGTGGCGGCCCCTGCCCTCGGCGCCGCCGCGCCCGCACGGCGGGCGCTGCTGCGGCAGCGAGCGGTCTCGCCTCGGAGGCTGGCTGGACGTCCAGCGGCAGCTCGTGCGAGACCGCGCCCCGGCCGAGATCACGGCGCAGGACAGGCGCGAGGCAGCCTCAGAGGCATTCCTGAAGATGATCGCCGGCATGGATCTGGACGCTCGGGGCGGCAGTGCCGTGTTCGTGGAGCCGGCGCAGCTGCAGGAGATCCTGGAGGACGCCGCGATGTGCCCGGCGTTCTCGGCCGAGCTGTGCATGCCTGGCGGTCCGTTTGAGAGGGTCCTGTGCAGCGAGGAAGCGTTTTTTGGCTGCGTGAGGCGGCAGCAGTTTTTCAGGAACCAGCTGATGCGCCTCTTCCTGGAGAAGTTCTTGATTATCCGCCAGTCCCTCAGCTCTCTGTTTGAGGAGGATTGGGCCGCGGATGCCGATGTAGTGGAGGGAGTGTTCGGAGATGATTTGTCCCTGGACGGACGAGACCGGCTCGAGGCTGCATTTATCTTCGACAGTGGGGAAGCGCCACAGGCCGCGAGCTTCCTCTCCCGTGACCTCTTTTTCGTGCGAGGATGTGTGAAGCCTGCAGACGCACAGGGGGACGCTGAGGGAGGTCAGACGCCTTCCTCCGACTGGCTCCTCGGCACCGCGCGGAGGGTCGTTCACACCCAGGACTCCCGCGTCAGCCTGATCCTGCTGAGGCTCCACCACATCGGGCCCACGCAGGGCTTCGTGCCAGTGAGCGGCGAAGCCGCACAGCTGGTCCACGTCGGGTTCATCCCCTCCGTCTTCTACCGCCAGCTGGACGCGGTGCGGGACCTCTGCGAGGGCCACGAGCGCTTCACGGGGATGGTCCAGGGCATTTTCTTTCCGGGCGGCGGGCCCCAGGCTCCGATGCAACTCTTGGGGGGCCAAATTCAAAAGCGGCGCTGGCATATCCCTGGTCGACAACGGGCCTGATCTGGCATCATGCCGCTCGATCCCGCCCGATCCGGCCTCGCCGGGCTTAGTCCTGGGCTTCATGCGACCTCATCCGACTTGATGGCCCTGGCATCGGGCTGAATCGCCTCTGCTCGTTCCCACGAAGACCTCCCAGGAGTTTCCTCCTGACTCACCACCCACCAAACCACCCCAGCCCAACCCGAAGGCCTCAATTTGCCCTCCATTTCCAGTGGGGGGGGGGTCGGGGAACATGGAAAAAAAACGTGGAGCCCGTAATTACCCGCCCCAACCCGAAATTCGGGTCAAATTCGGGTCCTCGGGTTGGGTTCCCAGACATGCGACGTCCAGATTGGAGAGGCCTGACGGCCGGTGCCGCCGACCCTGATCGAAGGTGCTAGGAGGGGGAGGAGGAAGCGAAGGAGGAGGAGGAGGAGGACGAGGACGAGGAGGTGGAGGAGGTGAGAAGGAGCAGGAGTACGAGAAGAGGACAAGGATGAGGATGATGATGATGCTGATGATGATGATGATGATGATGATGCTGATGATGATGTTGATGATGATGCTGATGCTGATGCTGATGCTGATGCTGATGCTGATGATGATGCTGATGCTGATGCTGATGCTGATGATGATGATGATGAGGATGAGGATGAGGATGAGGATGATGATGATGATGATGATGATGATGATGATGGTGATGATGATGATGATGATGATGATAATGATTATGATGATGATGATGATGATGATGATGATGATGATGATGATGATGATGATGATGATGATGATGATGATGATGATGATGATGATGATGATGATGATGATGATGATGATGATGATGATGATGATGATGATGATGATGATGATGAGGAGCAGGAGGAGGAGGAGGAGGAGGAGGAGGAGGAGGAGGAGGAGGAGGAGGAGGAGGAGGAGGAGGAGGAGGAGAAGGGGGAGGAGGATGAGGACGAGAACCTCCTCGCGACGCCCTCCAGGCTTTCTCGAAGGCTGCCGGGGGCGTCGGATCTGGGGGGGGGCCCCCGGGTCCCCCCGGACCCCCCCGGGACCCCCCCAAGTCCGGCCCCCCCCCCCCCGTACCGGGGAAGGGAAACGGGAATGGGCTTCCCTTCGAAGTATTGACGTACTGACGACGTTCAATCAATTGCTTGGCACGGCATGTGCAAGGAAGAGGACCCTGCTGACGGAGAGCGGGAGAACGGCGAGTGGAAGCTGGATGCGGCTAGAGAAAGTCGAGCAGGAAAGAAAGCACGACGCGAACGGAGAAGCCCCTCACACACGCCGACAGGGTCGGCGGATTTTCTAGGACGGCGTTTCTGGAGGTCCCGATCCCTTCCCCAGAACTGTTTTTTCGTCCTGAGTCGTTCTTGGACGGTCCCGAGGCCCGGCGAGGGCCCCCTGGGGCCGAGCATAGCCCCAAACCCGCCGCCCTGATTTTCTCACGACGCGATCCTGTCTGGGTTGGGGTGGTCTGGTCGGTAGTCAGCTGACCAAGGGCCAGCGCGGTGCCGCGGCGGGCGCGGGAGAGGAAGAGGCCCGGCAGCCGGCCGAGCGCCCTGCGGGCGACGGCCCCGCGGGCGAGGCCGGCCTGCCGGGCCACCTCAACGAGCAGCAGCGGGCGGCAGCGGCGGAGGCGCTCGGCAGCGCGCCGGTCACGCTGGTGGCGGGGCCGCCGGGCACTCGGAGGAGGAAAAGGTACCCATACCTCTATCCTTCCCTCGTTTCTCCCTTGTCGGGCCTCCTGGGAGGCCCTCCTCGCCACCGCTGGATTCGCTTCGAAATCCTGGTCAGAACGCACCCCGGGAGAGGTCTGGGGAGTAGCAGTATCGGTACCTTTCGGTTTCCCCAGGCACGGGGAAGACGGCGGTCGCGGTGGCGATCGTGGAGGCGTGGCTGAGACAGGATGCCGAGGCCCCGATCCTGGTGGCAACGGGGACGCACACGGCGAAGAGCCTGATCGCTCGGCAGCTCCGGGAGCGCGGGTACCTGCTGAGGGACCGCCGCAGGGAGGTTTTCAGGGAGAAGCATCCCGAGAGATCAGTGCCGGTCTTCGTGGAGACCGTGTACATGGCCGCAGTGCCAGATCACCGTCAGCTACCACGTGTGCTCATTGACGAGAGCTCGCAGATCACAGAGGCCTCCGCGCTCGTGGCGCTTGGCCGAGGCTGCGAGAAGTTGGTTCTGATCGGGGATCCAAAGCAGCTTGGCCCGATATCCCAGTTGGGCCCGTTTGGGACGGCTCGAGACTCCGAGCCGGGGCCATACAGCCAGGAGCGCGAGAGCGCGTTTGACATGGTGCGGCTGCGGCTGGATCGGAAGCCAGTTCAGCTGAGCGTGCAATATCGGATGCACCCGACACTGTGCCAGTATCCGTCGGATCGGTTCTACCACGGCTCGCTGCGGAGTGCCGACGCCCTGCGGGACTCCGCGCGCTTCGAGCTGCCAGCCAACGAGTTCCTGCCAGCGCCGGTGGTCTTCGTCGACAGCGCTCGGCTGCAGGGCTCCAGCGAGGAGGAGCTGGTGTCGCTCGGCGGGGCGCGTTCTCTCCGGAACCGCGGGGAGGCGGAGCTCGTGAGCAGGGCGGTCGGCTCCCTCCTGGAGTCGGGCGTGCCGCGGGAGACTGGGCGGTGCGCGCAGCCCAGACGGTTCAAGCAGTGGCGAAGCGTCCTAGCTCGCCTGTGGGCCGAACCAAAGAATGTCCTAAGAACCTTTTGTGGTCTGCACGAAATGTTCTTAGGACATTTCTGGCTGGGGCTGTCTTGTTTTAGCACATCGGGTTTGTGTTCTAAGAAAATTGTTTTGTTTTTCGAACGTTCTTGGGTTCTAGGAACGTTTCGTGGTAGGCCTATAGGAATGCCGGGACGGTCGGTCCCTGTTCAAAGACCCCCTCGCGTCGCGAACAAAACACGACAGGCGTTTCTGTCCTGGTTGTTGCTGGGCCCGAGGACCGTCAATCAACGAGTCGGGATGAAGAGCAGGCCCCAGGGAGTGGGTCAAGACCTCTGGGGGTGTGACGTCGGGAGTTTTGAAAGGGCTGGTTCGGGGGGGGGGGCGGTCTATTAAGCAGAGCAGACGGGAGGCGCTATTCAGAGGTCCTCCATGCCTCCCATCGGCGTCACCCAACATATTCATTTGAGGGAGTTTCTGTGGAACTCACGTCATCCTCACCCCCGGCGCGAAGAGCACGAGCCCAGAGCGGCCTCCGGCACCGTTTCCGGACGGATCCGCTGGATCCGCTGGATCCGCTGGATCCGGTGACGAATCCCAAACCGGCGCCCTCGCCTGAGACATCCTCACAAAACGGGCCCCGGGGGGGATGCCCAGAGGAGCCCAGAGCGGCCTCGGCATCCGCTGGATCCGCTGGATCCGCTGGATCCGGTGACGAATCCCAAACCGGCGCCCTCGCCTGAGACATCCTCACAAAACGGGCCCCGGGGGGGATGCCCAGAGGAGCCCAGAGCGGCCTCCGGCACCGTTTCCCGGATCCGCTGGATCCGCTGGATCCGCTGGATCCGCTGGATCCGGTGACGAATCCCAAACCGGCGCCCTCGCCTGAGACATCCTCACAAAACGGGCCCCGGGGGGGATTGCCCAGAGGAGCCCAGAGCGGCCTCCGGCACCGTTTCCGGACGGATCCGCTGGATCCGCTGGATCCGCTGGATCCGGTGACGAATCCCAAACCGGCGCCCTCGCCTGAGACATCCTCACAAAACGGGCCCCGGGGGGGAGGCCCAGAGGAGCCCAGAGCGGCCTCCGGCACCGTTTCCGGACGGACCGCTGGATCCGCTGGATCCGCTGGATCCGGTGACGAATCCCAAACCGGCGCCCTCGCCTGAGACATCCTCACAAAACGGGCCCCGGGGGGGATGCCCAGAGGAGCCCAGAGCGGCCTCCGGCACCGTTTCCGGACGGACGGATCCGCTGGATCCGCTGGATCCGCTGGATCCGGTGACGAATCCCAAACCGGCGCCCTCGCCTGAGACATCCTCACAAAACGGGCCCCGGGGGGGATGCCAGAGGAGCCCAGAGCGGCCTCCGGCACCGTTTGGACGGCGCCTGGCTCCGCTGGATCCGCTGGATCCGCTGGATCCGGTGACGAATCCCAAACCGGCGCCCTCGCCTGAGACATCCTCACAAAAACGGGCCCCGGGGGGGATGCCCAGAGGAGCCCAGAGCGGCCTCCGGCACCGTTTCCGGACGGATCCGCTGGATCCGCTGGATCCGGTGACGAATCCCAAAGCGACGCCCTCGCCTGAGACATCCTCACAAAACGGGCTTCGGGGGGGATGCCCAGAGGAGCCCAGAGCGGCCTCCGGCACCGTTTCCGGACGGACGACCTGACTGCATAACACGCCTGGATATGCCGACGGGGGCGAAGGAGGAGGAGGAGGAGGAGGAGGAGGAGGAGGAGGAGGAGGAGGAGGAGGAGGAGGAGGGGGAGGGGGCAGGCGAGGGAGCCCCGGCCCTGGGGGAGGGGCCCTGAGGGAGCCCTGATGGGCTTCCGGCACCATGGAGAGGTCCTGTGGGGCGGCCGCCCCTTCTTCTCTCGGTCGTTTCCCTCTCGCCCAGAAGCGCGCGCCCCTTCTTCTATATATATATATATATATATATATATATACAGAAACTCCCGATCAACCGCAGAGCGGCGGATGTTACTAGGTGTGCGTCGCGCCCCCCCCCTCTCCCCCTCAGGAGCGACGCGCGGGCCGAGAAATCTTAAAGTATGACCTCCGTGGCGGGCGCTTTCTGGCCAAATCGCTCGGGAAACGATAAACGACAAGATGTTTATACTATCTGCTCGGGTCGGACGCACGCCTCGAAGGAGGACGTCTAGTACTAGTATGTCCTTGTGCGTCCCATTTCTGGAGCCTTCCCAGAAGCCCCTGGGCCCGTCAAGAAGCTGCCGCCTCCTCAGAAGCCCGCCCCCCTCGCGAAAGTGCCTTCCCTGACACCCGCCGCTGTTCTTTTTGTTGCTTCTTTCGCGGCGCTCCAGAAGTCCTGACCTTTGCCCCGGAGCCAGCTTTTCGATGTCTGGTGGTCCCAGGGCCCGAACACGCGAAAACAGGCCCCGAGGGCCGAAGTCAGGGCACAACGGCCAGACTGCAGTTTTCGATCGTCGGCGATGGTGTGGCTATTCGGTGTGCGCATAGACAGCCCCTCCAGGTGGTCCCGGCCGGCCTCAACAGCCCTCGAGCACTTTCCTTCGGGTGGAGGGCAGAGGGCGACATCTGGAATGCCGTTTCGATTGGTTTTCGAGTCTTGAATCTGCACAAGGTGAATCACAAAACGGATTGATTCTCGAGGTGCAAAAGCCCATATGGATTTCACCCTGAGCCCTCCACCCTGAGAAAATGCTCAGTCAACAGCCCCCCGAGTAGTCCCACCTGGCCTGTGCCGCCCCGAGGCGGCGTCAGGGTGTTTAGTCGGCCCCGGGCTACTCGGGTCAGGAGCGAAATTAGCCTGGCGAAGAGGCGGAGGAGGAGGAGGAGGAGGAGGAGGAGGAGGAGGAGGAGGAGGAGGAGGAGGAGGAGGAGGAGGAGGAGGAGGAGGAGGAGGAGGAGGGGAGGCGGAGGAGGCAGGAGGCAGAGGAGGAGGAGGAGGAGGAGGAAGGAGGAGGGGAGGAGGAGGAGGAGGAGGAGGAGGAGGAGGAGGAGGAGGAGGAGGAGGAGGAGGAGGAGGAGGGAGGAGGAGGAGGAGGAGGGAGGGGAGAGGAGGAGGAGGAGGAGGAGGAGGAGGAGGAGGAGGAGGAGGAGGAGGAGGAGGCGGAGGAGGAGGAGGAGGAGGAGGAGGAGGAGGAGGAGGAGGAGGAGGAGGGAGAGGAGGAGGAGGAGGAGGAGGAGGATGAGGAGGAGGAGGCGGAGGAGGAGGCGGAGGAGGAGGAGGAGGAGGAGGAGGAGGAGGAGGAGGAGGAGGAGGAGGAGGAGGAGAGGGTTGTGGCCGAAGGCGGTTGGAAGACCTCAGGTGGCCGCATTCCCGTTACCGTGCCGACCCTTTGCGCTGCCCAACGGGCCGCTGCCAGTTTTGTTCTTTGGCTCTCACTGTACATCACGAAAAGACTCAGGGAGCCAGCTTGGCACCGCAGACAGAGGGCACGACGGGGACAATCCAGAGTCCTCTTGTGTCTGTTCAAAGCCGCACAGTGCCTGGACCACCATCACGCCAGCCCCAGAAACTCATCTGAACGCATGGCCTCGCGATCGGCTCCGCAAAAATGGGTATGTCGGTGCGGAAAACATGTGCAGCCATGGCATTGGTTCTGTTCCTGTGGCAAGCCATATCAGCAGAGACGCCGTCAAAGAAGCTCCTCTTCCCACCGTCAAATTGCTGCGCACGACAGAGCTGCGCAACAGTATATCAGCAAGGTGGTGCCCGCCTCCATGCTGGTGGCCGAGGCGCACTGCGACTGGGACAAGTGGAAGCCACCGAACGACAGCACCCAGATCAGCTCTTACAAGAAGAGGGTCAGGGAGCGCCAGTTCACCCTTGCAAAGCTTGCCGTTGCTGCGAAGTTGGCCAACAAGTCAGATCTTTCATAGCACGACGAGATTGCAATGCTCGAGTATTGCCTGTCCGTCCTCAAACCCCTTGGAGACCAGCTTGCAGACGCTCGGTATCGGAAGAACAAGCTAGCACAGTTGCTCAGGGACACCGTCAACAAGAGGAAGGAGCTCGAAATGAAGGAGATCGAGCTCGAAGACCAGATCCAGGATGCCAGGTCAATGGAGCAGGACCAAGAGCAGCAACTGCAAGAAGAAGAGCTCGTACAAGATCACGGACCGCAGCGTGTCTCGACGCGGCATGCTCAGATGGAGGTTCAGGAAGGAGGCTTCGCGGACGGCCCACCCACAAGGAGACCGTCACCGCCGCCGCCGCCAGTCAGAGAAGCCTCGAGGGACCCATATGGTGGACGTGTTGGTTGGGATGTGCCAGCACACGCACCTGCAGGGCCACCCGCTCCCAAGTACCCACCTGGTGGCGTACCACCCATCAACGCGAAGCTCTCCTACGATCCGCAGCAGCAGCTCACCATCGCCACAGCGATCCAGGCCATGATGTCTCGCCAAGACCAGATGGAGCAGTCCTTCGCCCAGTTCCAGAACACTATGGCGGCCATGATATCGGGCTCGTCACATCCTTCAAGTACGTCGGGGTTTCGTTCTGCTGGAGGGGAAGCTCGCCCGCCAGGTCCAGCTGGCCCCTCCCCTCTGGAGGCCCCGCCGCGGTCAGCAGCCAGCACCGAGGTGCCCAACGCTCCGCCTGCGAAGTCCCGCCCTACCAGCAGGCCCCTGACGCCGCGGACGGCATCTCAAGTGGAGGCAGCCATCATCAATGCGGTCAATCCGACGCCTGGCTCAGAGTCCTTCGCGGATCAGCTCAGGAAGCAGATGATAAACATGTCCCTACCGCCGCCACTGGAGAAGACTTTCCTGGTCCGACACAGATGTGGGGTGCCCCAGAGACCGAGCCTCTACCCAGCCAAATGATCGCGCCCACCCAGCCTGTCAGCAACACGCAGGAGGACGTCTTCTTACCTGGCCCGCCGCAGACGATCACGGAGCAGATGATCAATGCGCAGGAGGCGTCGGGGCTCACCCAGGAGCTCAGAGGTCCCACGGCAAGGCCAAGACTGGGGCACGTGCGTCAGAGGGCGGCTCGGGGGACACGCCGCCGCACAAGTCCAACATGCTGCCAAGTATGAAGGAGCTCTGAGGCACGCGGCATCTTTAGTGCCCCAGTCTAGTACACAGATCCGCACGGCGAGACGGGTTTCATTCGCCCCTGCGGAGCAAATTTCGGTCGCCACTCTCGATGCGCGGCTGCGCCAGCGTCTTTCACATCCTCTTCCGCCCTCTTGCTTGCAGTCATCCGCTTGTACCCCCTGTCGTGCTCACGTCGGGCAATCCACGTCTGCGCAGCAGGAGAGCAGTATAATTTCTGCAGGCATGCATGTAGCTTCTATCGGTCATCGAGACAGGGATAGTTCTCACAGAATTCATGGACAAGGAAGCCTCCAAGCGGGCGGGGGACGCCCAGCTGCTGAGGCCACGGAGCCCACGCCAGGTACCTCGCGGCCGCTCTCTGTGCATGACCCCGTCCCCTCTTCGTCTGACCAGGTCGACGACCCCACCCCGACGGCGCCCCCCCCCAATTGGTCAGGGCTGCAGACTTGGGAACATCCAATCAAGGGGATCTGGCTGCGCGTTCTCTGGTCTCAGCCCCATGCCTGTGCTTTGTACTTTTCCTATTCTTCCGCCACTCAGGGGGGCTCTTCGGCAGGACGAGCCACTTGCTCTTGAGCAGCTCACAGTCACACAACTCGAGGCGACGGGGGTCCTCGAAGATGAAGCCGGGCTGGGCCTGACGCTGTGCCCGCCAAGAGACGGCGTGTGGCACTACATCCGCCTGTATACCGACGGCTCGCTCTTCACCAAAGGGGGGAAGGGATCATGGGCAGTGGCAGTCATAGGGGAGGATGGGGAAGGAGAGTCCTTTCTTGGAGCACTGCGCGGTGACATCACTAGCGCGACTAGCATGCGACTTGAACCATGCGCCAGCACGAGTACCACAGCTGAGGTGGTCGCTTTAACGTACGCGTTGTTTTGGATAGTCGGCAATCGGCCGAAGTGCCGTGTCAGCATCTCCTCTGACTCGCTGCTCGCCATAGGAGCCACACAGGGGGGGAAGGTACCTTTGGCCGACAGAGCAGTGGGCGATTCCCTTCGCGCCGTGTTTGAGTATGCTCAGGGGGAGGCGCACTTCGACATTCGGCATGTTAAAGCACACAGGGGACATACTTGGAACTCACTTGCGGACAACATAGCCAAGGCTACCGCGTTTGGCAAACTTTGTGCCCCCCCCCGAGCCCCCCCCCCCCCCCGACATCTCGTTGAGGCTTTTCAATGCCAGAAGTCCCGTCAGTGGGAGTGGATGCTCGCACGGGGACCTGACGCCTATGCCTACCCTGAGATAGGCTGGTCGGGCGACGGGGCCACGCTGCGAGGTGCACCCCCGCAATTTCGGGTTGACCAGGCTACTTTGTCGCGGTGGCAGTCCAAGCCCCCCTCACACAATCTCAAAATTCAAGTACAACTTCGGGCCGCCACCTTCAATCCCCAGAGTGTGCGGGATGCGCATCGGAAGGGGGAAAAAGGTCACCCGAGATCTCATCGGATCAATCTAGTGAAGGAGCAGTTCCATGACATGGGGGTGGCCCTAGTAGGAATACAGGGGTCACGCAACGAACACCAGCTGAAAGGGGCTGCAGGGAAGGTGCACCTTAGATTTTCTTCGGGCCACGAGGGGCACAACCTTGGCACGGAGCTCTGGGTTGATATGTGCGTTCCGTACGGTAAGATTCAGGGGAAGGACGCCTTCTTCGCTGCGCACCACTTTTTAGTTTTGCACGCTGAGCCGCGAGTGCTTATAGTTAAATGCAGTGCCCCAGGTGTCATGTGCAACATCTGTGTGGCACACGCCCCGCATCGAAGGCATCCGCTTGCCGCTCGCGTTGAGTTCTGGGAGCATCTTGGGCGCCTTGCGGGGAAGTGGCCTTTCGGACTCACCTTCCTAGACGCGAACTGTGCCCTCGGCTCAATAACTTCTCCCTTTGTGGGAGACGCGGGTTTCGTTGAAGAACAGGATGAGAGTGGTGAGCTTATGCGCACCTTCCTCCATGAGCATGAGCTCCAGGCTGCCAACACATTTATGGTGAGGGGACATGGATCCACCTTCACGTCCAAGGGCACAGGACCCTGCAGGATCGATTACATACTGCTAGACAGCACCCTTGGCCAGCATCTTTCGTACACTCAGGTCCTTCAGGACATGGATCTTATGAGGGATCACGAAGACCATTTTCCTGTGTTGGCTGTTCTTGAGTGGGGTGTTGTCTCCTCCGTTGCCAAAGCTGGGTCTGCGCCTCTTGATCGGCGTAAGTTGGCCGACCCTCAGTGTATCAGGGAATTCAGTTCGCCATTGACGGGTTTGTGCTCGACCCCTGGGAGACCGACACCAATGAGCAGCTTTCTCGCTCACTCGAGTTCATTAACCAGCAAGCCAGTCGTTGTTTTCGTCGTGACCGCGTGCGCGTGCGCCGTCCCTATCTCTCGGACTCGCTCTTCGCCCTCGTTCGGATTCGCCGTTCGATCCGTAAAGTCCTCTATCTCGTTAGGGTGAAAGGTCTTCTTGCCTTGGTCGGACGTCTTTTTTCCATTGCGCAACGCATTCGCTCAGGGGACCTCCTCGAGCATGCCAGTGCTATTCTTCAGCTCGAGGACACGGAGCTGGCTAGGGCTCTCCTCGGGCCGTGGCTGATGCTTCACACCGCTGCGCAGGACTTTACTTGGAAAAGAATTGAGGCCAGCGACTTCAGCACAGCCCTTGCCAGTTTTCAGCGAGTCAGTGCGGACATTTAACGGCATGGGGTGGGGGAGGACTATGATCATTTCCTTGTTCAACAGGGAGCAGGCATTCGTGCCGCCATTGACGGCTCGTTGCCACGGCTGGAATGGAAACGGGTTCGAACCTTGTTAACCCTTGGGGGGAAGAAACCGAAGAAGGCTGCACTTTTCCCTCTTCGCAAAAGTGCCGATGGGCGTGTTCTTGAAACGTCCCGAGATGCTTCCAATGATCTTCAGGCACACTTCGGCTCTGTTGAATTCGGCATACCCATGACGGCTCAAGAAGTTGTCGCCACGTATGAGAACGGGCAGACGCTTGATGCCCACACCCCGCGCATCCTCGAACACCTCATCTCCCGCTCCGACCTCCAGCGCCTCATTGCTTCCGCCCCGTCGGGCAGTGCCGCCGGCCCTGGAGGGGCTTCCTATGAAGTTCTGAGAAAAGCCCCCGCTGGGTGCGCCCGCATCTTGCACCCCGTCTAGTTAAAAGTTGGTTTGGGGGGTAAGGGGCCCATTGTTTTCAAGGAAGGGGAAGTGATTGACATCAGTAAAGGAGATTCTTGTGCGGCTTTCGCGGCCAACAGAAGGGGCATCTTGCTCGGCAACACCTTGGGCAAACTGCATCATCGGTTTCTCAAGGGACTCCTTAATTCCGTCATCGCAGGAGGGTTACAAGACTGTCAGTGTGGGGGGCTTGCTGGGAGGAGTACTGACTTTGTCACGCATTTTGCAACTAGTCGCCTGCATGCCCAACATGTGGATAAGGTTTCGGCCTTTGCGCTGAGTATTGACCTGAAGGCCGCCTTTTACACCGTCTTACGGCAAACCATTCTGAGGCTCCCGTTCGAAGAAGAAGACTTCCAAAAGGCCTTAGCATCCTTAACCGTGCATCCTGCTCCTGCCTATGCGGCGCGCAATATCGCCTCCTCTCCTGCCGTTGACTCTCTTCTCAGCGATGCCCATCTTTATCGTTTGTTTGCCGAAACACAGACACACGGCTTCTGGCGTGTGCGAGGCGCGGATGATTTTGTCCGTCCTATGCTTGGGTGTAAACCAGGCACTGTCCTCGCCACTGATGTGTTTAATCTTGGGTTCGCCCCTCTCATCGTCAAAATTCAACTTTTGTTCTCGGAGGGTGAGTTGGGTTGGTCCCCACCAGCGGAGACGCCTCGAGTCTTCGCACGTGAAGGAGACGACGCCAGAACGCAGGACATGGGAGCATTCGTTGACGATTTAACCTTGGTAGGCTCCTCTCCTACCCCCGCGCTTCTGCAGGAACGGGCTGCCGCTGCTGCGGTCATTGTTGAGCGCGTGGTGTTTGAGGTCGGCCTGCGACTTAACATGGCCAAGACCTTTTTTCCTTTTGAGGCCCGCAGGACCTGGAGTCCGAGCCGTCGAGAAGGTCATATGGAAGAGAGGGGCCACCATTTCCCTGCCTTCTGGGGAGGAAGTCGCCATTAAGAGAACGATCAAGTGTCTGGGGACTCTGGTCAATGACAAAGGGTCGTTTGACACGGTGGTCGCTAGTCGGACTGCTCGGACCAGGGGTGGAACCAGGGCCGTTCAGCGTGCCCTTGGGGGCCGTGATGGCGTACCTGTGTGTAAACGAATCCAGTGTGCCGAGGCTTTCGCCCTTTCCCCCTTGTACTTCAACGTCTGTATTTGGTCGTCGTTGTCGAGTCGTGCCCTGGAAAAACTTCGTAACGCTCAGGTGTCTCTCTTCAGGGGCGCTCTTGGGATGTCGTTGGGAAACCATGGTGGGCTCCATGTCTCTCACAGTGACGTTTTAGTAATGGCCGATCGGCTCGATGTCAGTTCAGTCCTGCGAGTTGCTAGGCTTAAGTATCTGCCCAGGCTCCTGCAGAAGGCGCCTGCTGGGCTCTTGCTTGCCCTCGACTTCCTGTATGACAGGAAGCAGGGGTGGCCGATGCTTTTAACCGATGACTGTGTATGGATGAACAGGTTCAGCAAGAAACGGGAGGTGCCAGGAAGGGGTTCCTTAACATGCTGGATCGGCGCGTGCAGGAGCA